AAGTCAGACGGGGTCCTCGCATAGTAGTAGTTCTTGTAGAGCGATGGTCCTCACTCAGTCCTCGATTAGTAATAAGTTTTGTGATATTAGCGGGTCCATTAGTTAAAGTTTTATAAGTTGAAGTTATACTAAGTGAAGTTTCATGTATCTTTAAGTTTTATTTATGAAGTATCAAGTCAAGTTGTTATTCAATTAAGAAGTTAATTTGATGCGAAAGTTGAAGAAGTATTATTAAAGAAGTTTGAAGAAAATACAGAGAGATGTTTCTTTCTTCACTTCATATGAATTCATCAACTTATTAATACAATCACTCGGCAAATCTGTTCGTCACATATATTGGCACCTCCTGATGAAAAAAGGCACCTATAAATAAAGGCACCGACGAAGACAAGCATCACATACTGCATTTACAAAGAATAAAGTCGGCACATTTTAGCAAGTTCTACGAATTTAAAAGGAAAAGCCTCTAACGAATAAATCATAGCCTCTCGTAACGACAAAGCCTCAAATAAAGCATTACAAGAAAAGCCTCTGTCAGAAAACTTCAACAAGACGTGCAATCATTGCAACAAAACGGGAAAGATCATCTGTTTTAAGGTCAGTATCTTAGATTTTCTACATTTACTAAGCTGTGAAAGCTACATTTACTAAGCTGTGAAAGCTACCTTTACTAAGCTGTGAAAGCTACCTTTACTAAGCTGTGAAAGCTACATTTACTAAGCTGTGAAAGCTACCTTTAATAAGCTGTGAAAGCTATATCTATTAAGCTGTGAAGGCAACGTTACTAAAGCTAGTTGTACACTAGTTTGTTTACAGATACTGACCACTTGCATTCCTCAAGAGGAGACACAGATCGATATTTAACTAGGTTAGTTATAGTTAAACTCTCACCTGTGGACAGGTGTCGGTCATCGCTAGTGTAGGCAGTACTTATAAATAGTACAGTTATTAAGTTATTACAATGGCATTGGTCTCGTACCTGTGGAAAGAATACATCAAAATAGCCGCTTACGGTAACATGCCACAAGAAAGAATGGAGGAATGGTGCACTCAACAAATAAATTACGATATACGAAAACGTAAAAAAGACAAAGAGGCAGAAGAAAGAAGACGTAAAGAAGACAAAGAGGCAGAAGAAAGAAGACGTAAAGAAAACAAAGAGGCAGAAGAAAGAAGATGTAAAGAAGACAAAGAGGCAGAAGAAAGAAGATGTAAAGAAGACAAAGAGGCAGAAGAAAGAAGATGTAAAGAAGACAAAAAGGCAGAAGAAAGAAGATGTAAAGAAGACAAAGAGGCAGAAGAAAGAAGATGTAAAGAAGACAAAGAGGCAGAAGAAAGAAGATGTAAAGAAGACAAAGAGGCAGAAGAAAGAAGATGTAAAGAAGACAAAGAGGCAGAAGAAAAAAAAATGATTAGAGAAGACAAAAGAAGACAAAGAAGAAGAAGAAAGGAAACTTAAAGAAATACAAGAAACAGAAAGAAATGAAACTGAAGAGAAAGAGACAAACATGGACTGAAGGACCAAACAATTGTAAAGCAGCCAAGACTTAATGTACCTTATTTCAAAGAAGGAATACTTGTGAAGAAAAGTGTTAATTATGATACCTATGAGTTTGTTGAACAAATCATTTTACCACTGAAATATACTCAAGACATCATTGAAAAGAATCACAATTTTCTACATTCTAAACTAGCAAGTGTGACGAGGACAAAGAAAAGAATTCTTGACAAATTTTATTGGCCCAGCATTACAAAAGATGTTAAGAAACATGTTAGTCAATGTCAAGTTTGTTAAATGAACAATCCTACGTCAAAAGTTCAAGAGTAACACACGAATGTTGAACAAAGTTATGAACCAGTTGAAAATATTATACTAGACAAAAATGTATCAAATATTGATGAATTAAACAATTCTACATTTAACTTTAAGACAGAAAATCGTCTTACATTGATGGACAATTTATGCAACAACCGTGATATGACTCAGCAACAAAGCTACATAAGTACTTCCAAAGAAAGTCTATCAAATACAGATTCTAACATATTTGTTTCGAATGAATCAATGTCAAAGTCAAAACAAGATGAATCAGAAAAGAAAACATTTCAACATGGTTTTGATACAAATATTACATTCATAAAGCCACATGGAAAAACTCAAGAAGCTAAAGTCAACATTGAAAATGAAAGTGCATTAAATGAATACAGAAAGCTTAGAAATTTTACACAAGGAGACAAAGTAAAGTTATGGTTACCTGTTCATATGCTTAAGAGATACAACGAGAATACAGATAATGAAAACTTATCAAAAGAACTAGAAGAAACTGTTACATGCTTAGAAAGAATTCAAGAGGAAAATGAAGACAATATAAATGAACTATTACCAACGCCATCAAAACAAATTGAATCTATCAAAGACATTGACATAGATCATTTAAAGTTGAAAAGTATGAAAAACCTGTTGAATACAAATGAAGAATATACTGATATATTTCATGATGTTCCTGACATATCAACATTTATAGACAATGTGATTAACTTAAAAAGTGAAAAACTTGCCAACTCCAGTGTTTTGCACAATAGAGATTTACTGCAGAAAGACTTAACTGATTTATTAGTGCAATGCATACATGAACATTCGAACTCATTGTTTTCCACCCCAATTGTTTTACAACGAAAAATATCATCACAAGAAAGATTTAGTCTCGATTTTGGACAGTTCTTGTTTGAACATATGAAAAGCAAAGAATATTTTAAGGACAATAGTTGTCTGATGCTTAAAGCTAGAATGAAACATATTCATGAACTGAGAGACATTTCGTTCAAATTGAAAAAAACATGAATTCTTAGCTAAACCAAACAAGTTTGTCTTGAAACAAAAAGTGACATTTTTCAACAGCAGAGTTGAACAAAACTCTCTGAAAACACAGGACAATATTGTTTAACGTATTTTGAACTATAAAGAACCAAGAAAGAAGAAATTTACAGACAGACTAGAAGTGTTTCAAGTATTTGGAAAGAAGAAAGCTGCGATTCTAACAGGACTGTACAGCTGGGTCAAGATTTATTTTAATACTTATGTCATGCAATTGCTTATTACTTAGTGTATTTCATTAGTACTGTTATTATAATAGTTTTAGAAATTAGTAATTTGGCATAGTATTATTTTTTATTACAAATGGTGGAAAATACGTTTAGATTCAGATATTCTGTATTAGCAAATAATATGATGAGATGACATGTATTTTTCAGTATTGTGAAGTTGTATAATTTTGATATTTTCTTGAGATACATAAGTTAGAAAAGTTCATACTCAAATATCATATGGTGACAAGTAATGTATGGAACTAAGACATATTTTTTGTAATATTAATTATATATGCAGGATATGTACAATATTTTGGATTTTGAATTATGTACTTGTAATGAAACAATTATTTGAATTATCAGTTTTTTACTTTATAGGACCAATTTTTTTAAATTTTTGTGTGCATATATTATAATAGTAATAATGTTATTTTACGCATTTTATATTGCATACAAAATGCTAAAAAGGCAAGGGGGGTAATGTCATGAGTCGAGTCTGTGACCTATTTCGACCAGTTTCTACAAGCGAGTTCAAACCAGTGCAAGTGTCCAGGGTAAACAAGTTAATTTTAGATTATCCAATCAAAGAAAGAGGTTAAGGGGAAAAAATAGCACACGTCAGCTTCTAGAAGGCCAAAGTTACTAAAATAATTATCGGAGGTTCCATGATTCTGGAATGTACGATTAAAGAAAGTATAAATTAGGGGAAAGTCAGACGGGGTCCTCGCATAGTAATAGTTCTTGTAGATCGATGGTCCTCGCTCAGTCCTCGATTAGTAATAAGTTATGTGATATTAGCGGGTCCATTAGTTAAAGTTTTATAAGTTGAAGTTATACTAAGTGAAGTTTCATGTATCTTTAAGTTTTATTTATGAAGTATCAAGTCAAGTTGTTATTCAATTAAGAAGTTAATTTGATGCGAAAGTTGAAGAAGTATTATTAAAGAAGTTTGAAGAAAATACAGAGAAATGTTTCTTTCTTCATTTCATTGAATTGTCAAGTTTGATAATAAAATCCCCGGCAAGTGTGATCGTCACACATTACAACTATTTTTGAATGTTTAAATTCAAATTTTAGACTATAAATACAATCTACCTTTGAGTAGCCCCTGAGATGGAATCAAGTAATTATAGACTATAAATACAATCTACCTTTGAGTAGCCCCTGAGATGGAATCAAGTAATTGTAGACTATAAATACAATCTACCTTTGAGTAGCCCCTGAGATGGAATCAAGTAATTGTAGACTATAAATACAATCTACCTTTGAGTAGCCCCTGAGATGGAATCAAGTAATTATAGACTATAAATACAATCTACCTTTGAGTAGCCCCTGAGATGGAATCAAGTAATTGTAGACTATGAATACATTCTACCTTTGAGTAGCCCCTGAGATGGAATCAAGTAATTGTAGACTATAAATACAATCTACCTTTGAGTAGCCCCTGAGATTAAGTTTTACTTTTTGAGATAAAGAAGTCAGTTCTTGATAATATTATAGTATTTAATTTTAATTACAGTTATACCCAAGGGTTTCTCCACAACCAAGGGAAGTTTCTGAGTGTTGACAACTTTGGATCAGGAAAAGATGTACCTTGACAGCTTGGGATGAAAAACTGATGTGTTGACAGCTTGGGATGAAAAACTGATGTGTTGACAGCTTGGGATGAAAAACTGATGTGTTGACAGCTTGGGATGAAAAACTGATGTGTTGACCATTGTGTGGAAGTGACCTTGTTGTGACAATTATTTTGAATAGTGATTTGTTGATTTTTAAAACAAAGAATGGAAAACTGAAGTTTAATTTTTCATTTTGTAAAACATATTCTAAGAAAAAGAGTACAAAGTGTAATTTATTTATCCCATCCAGACTCTAGTCAGTATTTTAATGACAATCTGTGTCTGTCTGACACCATCCACCAGCCATGTTTTAAAGTTTGTCATCCCCTTAAACTTCTTAGGATCTTTATTTCGCCCAAGAATCTTTACATTTGGGGAAATAAAATTTTAAAAAGTGCTTAATTCAATAGTGAGGGTTAAAAGTTCATCTCAGACATTCTGAGAAAAATCTGAAACTCTCCTGTTTTAGAGTTGAAATAATAAGATACATTTATCATCTGTATAATATAGTTTTATGTCCAGTCTATGGTTCTGAAAAGGCTTTAGACTAGCATTAATATTTGATATAAACTGAACTAGGAAATGGCAACTTATTAACACAAGCACTTCACCTTAGATAGTTATGTTTCTTCGTTCAAAATTCACTTACAGCATAAGATCTTCTTAAATTTAGATGTTTAGTAAATATGTTATGACACCAGAGGGCACTGTCTATTGTAAATAGCTATTTCTCCTTTCCAAGTCTGATATCTATGCAAGTGCATCATCATTAATGTTATTATTGTAAATAAATATTTCAAACTGTCTGTATAGCTTTGTTATTTCATACAAACTTAATTAGCAAACTATTTTTGTAGCTCATTCAATATACATTTTGTTATACCAAATATTAAACTTTTAATTTATTCAAGTCAATGCATAATTTTTTGTCTTTTTTTTTCTTTTTATATTGTAAATATTTTTTGTCACAATACTTATTTGATTATGTTTAATAATTTATAGTTCTAGCAAACTGAATTCGCCTAATCATTGTTTATATCAAAAATTAAAACATCTTAAATATTTGTGAAAAATAAATTAAATAACATTCATTAAACTGTTTTGAAGACTGTGCCAGGGAAAAATAGTGTGCTGTTTTCTTCATTTGTTCAGCACTGCCGTACAGGGTGTTGTTTATGTTGGGCTGGAGTGGTAGCAGGGTCTGCCTAGGGTGGATTAGGAAGGAGCATTCAAAAAAGATATGTTTACGATTTCATAAGGGTGGGCACAGTGTCTACAAAGGGGGAGTTGTGTGGGATTTATTTACACAAATTTTACAAGAGTATACAACAACCATTCTTTAAAACCATTCTTTGAAGTGGTCACTACTACCTGATTTGATCTTTTTTTGACCATAATGCAGCTGTTTGAGAATTAGAGATCTTAAAAGGCATCTGAGCCAAGGTAGCATATTCCATAAAAAGTTGTGACTCTTTAAAAGCTTGTAAGATCGAAAAAGCTGAGTAAAGGTTCAAATACAGTTCTCTGCATTTGTACAGTAGCAAAAATAAGTCTAATGCACCTTTATCTTAAAAGTTTAAGTTGAAGATTCTTTTAATATTTAGGTCCATGCACAACTTCTGTCTGGGAGGGATCCTAGCAGACGTATATTTATTGCCTTTCTATTACAGATGGCTCAAAATCCAAGACTTAGATGCGAGGTAGAGCCCACCAGCAAAACCTCTGTATTCAGCCATGTTGGCGTCTGCCTTGAAGAACAGCTTGTGGATAGGGAAAGGCTTGTATAGGCTTTTTTCCATTCCAGAAGGTTGAAAAGACTCGTTCCTTAAGCACCCAAGTGAGGGTTCTGCTTTACTTCCTTATGGGTCTAATTGTCTTCTGAATGACAGTTTCCACCCAAGTGCCATGTTGAGGCTGAGATGTTTTCTCCAGCAGATGTACCTCCACCAGCTATAAAATCACTTTTGCTTTTAGACAGCAATCAGAGTCATTGCCTGTTTCCCCAAGGGATATGATGATAAGATCACAAAGGTAAGATCAATTAGGAATCTCAGCTAGAAATAGCTAAAATGGAGCTTGACGTTCAGACTGCAATTGGAAAAGCCATATAGCACCAGACTCAGATTGCCATTCAGGCATGTCTTTTGAAATGGGTGGTGTTACTCTAAAGGAAAAGTTAATCAACATTTTCACATGATACTGGGTTGTATAGTTTTAAACGTCAAGTTTGTGCAAATACATAAAATACAGGTTTCAACTTCATAAAATTTCCATTGAACATAAGTTTTATTAGAACCAGTGAACTATACTAATGAAATGCTAGTCAAAGTTGACATCATCTACCCCATAGAGTGCAAGGTCTGAAAAGGGATACTTTATTATTATTTTTTAAAAAGTTTCTGTAGATGATTAGGTTAGAAGGACATTCATACTGATATCTACATTATTTTGACTGTAAATGTGACGGCCAGATGTAGGATTATTTTAGGTGTAAAGGTGCATAAAAAATGTCTTCAAAACTCTTTACAATTTTGCAGTAGAAAATGACAAGCATAAACAAATTTTTCTTCCATCTTGATTTAGTTTTAAATCAAGTTTATTTAGAATCAAATTTATCATCAATATTAGATTTTGGTCAAAAGGATAATTTTAAAATAAAATACATCTGCAATCTACCTTTTTTGTGATAAAATGTGCAACACTCCTCTACAGTTTGCCAAATTTAAATTTCCCAAAATGATAATCTTAGAAAAATATGAGATTAGAGACATAGGTTTTTGTTAAGGAACTGCTTTAAAAAAAAAATTATTATTTAGCATGTCTGTTTAGAGTGAAATTTGTATAGAGTGTTGTAACTTTCACTTGTCCAGTTCCTTCCATCCAAACAGTCATGTCTAGGTCTTGATTTCCCAATGTCTGCCCCCCCCCCCTTTGTTTTCTTGCACTGTTCTGAATGGTAAAAGTTAGATGCAAGTAAAAAGTTAGATGCAAGTCTTTATGGCATGTTCATTCATATTATGTAGCATATTCATTGCTCTAAAGTATTACTAAAGAGACAAAACTAAATAGAAAACAAAAGAACAATATAACATTGTTCACTACATATTTTATTCATGGCAATACAAATACTTAGAAATAATTCTCAAAGAAATAAACAATTGAACTAGACATATCTTATTGTCAATAAACTGGAGAGAAAAGTTGAAAAACCGAATCACTTGTAGTATCCACATCCTTCTAAACAGGTTTGTAATCCAGTTTACTCTCCAACTTTTTGTTGTCTGCCACTTTCCTGACAGCTTTCATAAAATCTTCTTCCACTACATAGTCACGCTCAGCCCTGATGGCAAACATTCCTGGAGGGGAGACAACACAGTTTTAAATAGTATCTCAAGATGGCAATAACAAATGTTACAGTTTCAGGAACTAATGAAAATAAATATCTAACAGTTTTGAAAGATTCATTTTTAGATCAAGCATCTTTTGATTTGAAATCCCTCAATTGATATTTTTAAATATTTAGATCTGCTTATGTTGACAAAAGATTCTAGATTGTATTTCTCAGTTCTAATTGTGTAAATTTCTAAAAGCCAGTAGACTTATATTGTCACCATACATATTAGTGAACCTCAACATGTACATTAAAGCAAAGGAGAAGTTCTGTGTTTGTAAGATGTAGTGGGGCATTATACGCACACATTGAAATGTTTTTATATTCAATGATAAACATGTCTGTCACGTGGACAACACACAGACAGCTTATCCCCTCTCCTCCACTTTAAAATGTCAAAAACTCATTGGAAATGGGTGAAATGGGTATGTCCAGAAATCCTGAATGAATTGATACTTAGGTCCTTTGGTTAAAAACAAAATAAATGTTTTACTTATTTAGACAAACTTTAAAAAAAAATATTTTTCTACAAAGGGATAATTTTGTATCTAAAAATTAAAAAAAATCCACATTTTATAATCTTTAACGTATGAAACTACATGACTGTGACAAGTATTGTTTTATCTGTGAGTGGATCATATATTCTAAGACATCTAGCAGGAAGAAGTTAACAAAATGTAAACACTATGCCTCAGCTTAGTTGTACTAGAAACAAGGAAATACTTGCTGACTGAATGTTTCTAACTGACCCATTCCCTTACACAGTTCAACAATCTACTCTACCTGCTTCTGTACAGACATTCCTCAAGTCAGCGCCATTGAAATCTTCAGACAACTTGACCACAGCTTCCCAATCTGTACATTGATAACAAGAACCATTAGTCAAAAGTTTTGAAAACTCACACAGCCACATGCAGTACAGCAGTGGGTGAAACAAAATCTATTGATAGATAAGCAATTTCCTAGCCTCAAAAAAATCAACAATCCAAAGTCTATTCTACAGAACTTAATGAAATTGTTTGATTCCTTTTGATTTCTTTCAGATTTTATAGTTAACATCTATTAAATCTACTATTAAATCTACATTAACATCTATTAAATCTACATTAACATCTATTAAATCTACTAAAATCTACAAACTCTATATAAATAACAAAAAAATGCAATCCAAAAGGTAAAAAAGTAACCTACATTCAGAACAATTGTTCCAAACACTCTTTAGACAAGGTCTACAAACACTATAACCTAAACAAAAAAAACTCAAATAACTGAGAAGTGCTTATTTTCTACTGACCTATCTCCCCGTGCTTTGCTATAGGATTAGCATGAATTTTTAAAATCTCAGCTCTGGCTTGTTCATTGGGTAAGGAGATTTCTGCAGAGAGAATAAACATCATGATAGTAGAATTTAAAAAAAAGCAACATTCAAGATATTGGATCACACATTCTTTTAACTGACCAATTTTTCTGTCTAATCTTCCAGGTCTTAACAAAGCTGGGTCCAAAGTGTCTGGTCTGTTGGTGGCCATGATCATTTTAACTTGGCCCAGTGCATCAAAACCATCCATCTGATTTAACAGCTGAGAACACACACAATAATGGAAATCTTTTAATATATTACCCAGACATAAATACTGAGCGATAAAAGAAAGAAAGCCGTGTTGCTTTTTTAAAATTTTCAGCCCATCATTATCGTTCGTGACATTAAGAGTTACTTTTCCAGAACAATAAATAGGGCAATCAACACGAATCTAGAGAGGAAGGCATAAAGATGTTAAAATCTTATAAATAAAAGAAACATCTATAACTTGCAAATGATTGTTTTATATAATTATCCTGACCAAAACTGTTCAAAGTAATACAACAACAATGGCAGCCTTGTGCTAGGGTGAAAATTTAAAATAAACAAAAGCCTAGCTGACAACTAAAGATGCTACATTAGAGTTACTCTCAATTTATGGTTTAAATAAACAGTCTGTGCATCTAAAAAGAAATCATTCAAAAGTTGAAATTATTCTAGCCTTAAACAAGAAAAAAGAATATGTAAACTTTGATACTAAACCACAGCCTGTGATAGAACAATCTGCTCCAACACATCTCCAAAAATTGTCAAATTTCAACTTTTTTTTTTTTAATGAAGGTTTGAGCTTATGAATAGAGCATTCTGTCCAGAACTTACTTCCATCAATGTCCTCTGAATCTCTCTATCAGCTGAGGTTCCTTCAGAAAATCTCCTGCCACCTAAAAAAAACCAGTTCATTCATTTATTTTCATAAATGCAACAGTCCATTATAATACAAAGCATTTTTATTGTTCCAACTACAAAATCAAAACTAATATAATCTGAGAGAATAAGTTACTGTTTCATAAATGAGAAATTATTTATTTCTTAAATTCAGAAATTGTTGAATCACCTATAACAATATGCAAATGAAAGAAGTATAAAAAGAAAACCACTCAATACATATGTGTGTAATGCTTACCTATAGCATCAATTTCATCCATAAATATAATACAAGGCTCA